GTGCCCAGCAAATGCTAGGGCGGATTTGGGCCCACTGTCACGCCCTTGTCATTGATCCTCTCCTCCATGCTGACTTGTAAGGAGGGCGCACCAATGAAAAGGGCGAGGCGGTTGACTGACTCCACCCATTCAATCAGCGCACACGATATCTTCCAATTGGAAAATTTCCAAGCAAGGCTTTCATCGAAAATTGCTTACCACTTTGCTTTTATCAGTGCCTTCTGAGGAGAAATTTGCCGTAATAGCCATGCATAAAATACCATGTGGATGATAGCCAATAATGTAATTCTGCATCAATCAATAAATCGATGGTGGAGTGGCCAATAAAATATTTACATGGAGGACCGTACCTTATCTGGTGGCAGCTCAGCTGTTTTGTGAAGAGTTACTGGGAAGTATTTGGCAAACCATTTGTAGAATATCCATCTGAAATCCTTGATTCAGCTCACGCATGCCAGGGTTCATAAACCAGCAAGAAGGGCCAAAAAGACGGCGCACTTGGGCGACGGGGGAGGGGCATTTTGCACTTTCGCTGCTTCACTAGTTCCGGTTTACAAGTCTCACTCTGGTGAAACCTGTGAACTCTTGTGAAGCTGGAGCAAGCTCGTCTAGCCACCATGGTAGAACCTGTCAACTCTTGTAAGCTCATGGAATAGCTGGCTAGATGCGTCGACACGTCGATGAGAAGTAGCAAAAGTGCAAAATGTCCCCCCGTCGTCGAATGCCCCAAGAATACTGACCTTTGCGGAAAGTTATTACGATACCCGCCGTTCTCTGGCGATTTTCGGTCATACAAGTACCACAACGAGTACAGAATTAGAATGTGCCATTGCCATGTGAAGATCTGTAAAATTACGGGGTACTTCTGAAAAATTGAAGTGAAGATCGGACAGGGCTATTTGAATGCTAGCGATGGAAACTTACTTCTCGGATGAGGGTAGCCTTAGTTTCGGGGTGCTGGATTGTAGTGCACACCAAAAAATGCACTTGATAACCTAAAGATTTTAACGTAGAAGTCACGAAGTCTCTGATCATGCGCCTGAATTCGAATTCCACTTCAGAAAGCCTTGGGCGATTTGATGCGTGCGGCAGGCGCTGTGCTCGAGTCTGCAAGGTCATTCGGAAATGTGAATCAAGGACCCATAATTTCCGCTGAACAAGAACGAAATCTTCATCGATTTTCTCACAGACCTTTCCCTCGCTAGGTATCGAGATTCGGGTCCATGTGTTGAGTTAGTGTACGTGGCAACCGCCTGGGTCAAGGTAGATTCACAAACTGCTTAATTCCTCTTACCGTCAGTGTCAACCCACCCAACTAAAATCAAAAAAATAAACGAAAGCCAACAATCTTTTTCCAAACTATTATATTACAATGAACTCAAAAATTTACCAGGATGAACGGCAGTATTTTACAGAATAAGTCAGAGGAATGGTGAGCATGAAGTGTATGACTGCGCCAAGCGTGTAGAGTTTCTGCTCCCATGGATCGGCTAGCGGTGAAAAGTCGATGCCCAAGATTCGCTTCATCCTGAAATGTGCCAAATTCCTATCATTAGGGATTTATACGCAAAATGATCTGGAAAGAGTACAAAAATGAAAGGATCACACAAGACTCATTTACTTTGTAGTATCGAGAGCGTGAGGTGGAGGTGGTATACCCGCCCTTACCACCCGCGCGGTCCCGGGTTCAAATCCCGGGTCGACTCCCGCCCAGGCCAACCAAGCCTTCTACCCTCCGGGACGGTAAATTGGTACCAGATTCGTCTGGGAGGATAAAACACTGACTTGTACATCGGCTGGCCCCCGCAAGTCATTGTATAGGCCACATCGCATTCAATAAGCCACTACGATTCTGAATGGAAGTAGAATGCGTGCCGCATCCCACAAAGGGATTGATCAACGGCGAAGACTTTATCCTTTTTCTTTATTATCGAGAGCGTGCTGGCAATCTTCCAAAAATGCTAAATAAAGAAAAAGGGACCTGGGCACAATAAGACACCAGGAAAAAAGAGCATCTAGGCAGTATCAGAGCGTAAGCAATGTGTAATTAGGTTACTAAGGTGTGACGAAATGATGAAGTGATCATGACCGACGAAATAAAAGTGGACATAAATGTACACCTAGAAACAAGAGCAATAATATTTTAGCATAAGCAGTGTGAAATTAGTAAGTTAATTAACTGAAAGTAGTTATAACCAACGATCCGTAATTTCTAAGTGAGATGGTTGCAACTAGAGCTCAGGGCAGTTGCAAGGGAATCGGAATGAGCCCCCCCCACCTTTCACAGTAGCAACAAAATTCAATTACAAAAACTGAAGCATAGAGTGCTCGGCGCTCAACAGTTCCCTCCTTGGAAGCACCATTTATGTGACTTCTATACAAACGCGTAGAGGCTTTTAAATGTACTACGCTGGTACTAAGCCCCTACAAGAAGTGGGTTAGTCTTTTATCCTCCCATGTTGGAACTCCTGTAGCTTGCCATCTTCTAACAACGCTTTGGATTAAAACTGC